CTAGCAACACATTTCATTTTTATTTCAGCAGCATGCTTTAAAATGAAATTTGAACGAACCTAAAAACGAACAGATTTCCGTTTTGTTCTCTTCATCCTGGTGAGAAAATAACTTTGTAAATAAACCAAGTGCGGCCTCATTTCTTTCCAGTACCTTGACGAGCTCTTTCGTCGCTGTTATGGTTTAAAGTAGGGTTTGAATTGAGAATCAAGAGAACAAAGATTCCTGTCTTCACCTATGCCAATTAATTGCTGTATTTGTTGTGCATTGTTGAGCACAGAAACAAACTTGCACTGGATACGCCGCCTGCAGTGGGGGTACAGCTGGCGAGACCACCCAGACAGCTTTGCGCAGAGGCGATAACGTGACCAATGAGGCTTTGCCGAGGTGCGTTTATTGCTGGTTGAAAACTTTTCCCAATTGCCCGCGATGGCCCCTGAAACATGGGTGTCATACGCAATTTTTGAACGCCCCTAGGGGGCAGAAAGGGGAAGAGTGGCAAAGCACATTCTTGTTGGGGAATCCCCAACAGGGGGTCAAAAAAAGGGGGGGGGGTGTCGTACAGACTCGACTAAAATCCCCAACCAATGATGTGCCCTGAAGTGTGGTCCGAGGGTGATCCATTCCCTTCTCGTAGCCGCAATGCTGTTGATCCTTGATTCCGCATTCCGCTGCGGGGGAACTGGGATCGTACTGAAGGAAGCTCACATGTCGCCTACATAGCATAGATAACAGTTATTACAATGTTGTAGAGGATAGAGCTTTCACCGTTACTTTCGGGCTTCCAGAACGCCTCAAGTTAGAACTGTGGCTCTGAGCATGATAGAGTATGGCGCAGAGAGAAAAACAGTGGAAACGAGGAGCAGATCATGGGCTATATAGCGATAGTGAGACGAAATGTTAAAGGTAAATTCAGCTCATGGAGGCAGAACTAGGTTAATCTATCTGAGTCTTAGCTCTTTCACCCATACTTAGCGATATTTAGGGACCCTGGTCTCCCAATTACAAAAAGCGGCCTCTAAACGTTCATTCCACAATGCTTGTTATAGACTGCATGGAGTGAGTGGTATAACTCGCCAAATTTCTGTCTTCCCCGAGTTTCACTATGGCACCCCGGTCTATGAGCTCATGAAAGGCGCGACGATAATTAAAAAAATGAAATGACCGTATTTTTCAAGGGAACTGCTCTAAAAAATACAGAATACCTGACCCAAACGAATACCAAGTTTGTTTCACCATTAATTTCTGCCCCCTGGGGCGTTCAAAAATTGCGTATGACACCCATGTTTCAGGGGCCATCGCGGGCAATTGGGAAAAGTTTTCAACCAGCAATAAACGCACCTCGGCAGAGCCTCATTGGTCACGTTATCGCCTCTGCGCAAAGCTACCTGGATGGTCTCGCCAGCTGCACCACCCACGGTAGGCGGCGTATCCAGTGCGGGCCCGCTCTTGCGATTGTATGTGTCCGATTAGTCAGCCTTACTCTTGTGTGTCATAATGACCGCTTGTTGAAAAGGGATAAATAGGTAGCTATGCGTTTCCAACCTACATAATCACAGCAGAAAAAAACTCGAACATCTTCATTACACACACATAAATACATAACAAACGAGCACAACACAAGAGCCATTCAATTACGCTAACTAGAAAACCTTCCGGAATCATAAATAGATTATTTCTTCTGGATGTAGAACACCAGAGGTTTGTTGCTGATTTTATTCTTTTTCGACGCCTGGGCTGCATTGATGAACGTCTATAAATAAGTTTGGTATAACTTTCAAAGCTTCAGAAAATCGAGAGCAGGATCATTCAAATTTATTATAATAAAAATAAGCAACTGGTAGTTAGTAATATATAATCTGCAATAATAGTAGTTAACAAATATTTTCTGTGAGGCCGAGTGGCTTGTAGTGACAAGTGGCCGCTTCCACACTCGCGCGGCCGGTCCGAATCCCGCTCGACACCCGCCGCAGGCCAACAAGCTTCTTCCTACCTCCGGGACGTCAAATTGGTACGTACATTTCGTCCTTGGAGGATAAAAACACTGTTTGTAATCGGCTGGCAGCGCAAGTCATTGTATAGGACCACATCGCATTCAGTAAGTCACTACGATTCTGAATGGAAGTAGAATGCGTGCCGCATCCCACAAAAGGGATTGATCAACGGCGAAGACTTTATCCTTTTATCCTTATTCAAATGACATCAGTAGTATGAAATAAAAACAGCTAAATTCAGTCATGTTCGCTGGGGGCGGTTTGGAGCAGTGCCAGCCCGTTTTTCACCAGCTGTTGTCGCTTGTCCTCTTCAACAGTTAGTGGAGAACGGATTGGCACGGAGCCAAACCCAGCCCCCCCCCCCCCCAACACGCCTAAGCATCCGCAGCGAACAACACTACACTAATAGTTTCATGCATTTCCCTCACATATTACGAGTAGAGTAACTGGCAACCTCGAAAGATCAACTTGGGCACTGAGGTGGCGCGGGTTTGCATTTGAAGTTGTTCATTTTGGGGAGGACGCGTTTCAGACAGCTAAGGTCCGCTAGCCGCTTTGAGCGCAACCTTTGTTGCAAAACCCGCCATGCAGTGCCTGCTCAAGGGTTCGGTATCCTTCTTTACCAGGCATATCGGTTCCACATGCGTGGTTGAATTATCGTGTCGAGTGGCAGCGTGCTCCGCAAGCCAAATTGATTGTAAACAAATTACTATTAGGTCATCCCATTCAAAACGTGCCGCTGGTTTTTTTTTTTGAATAAAACAAAGAGGAGAATAAATAGAAAAGTGATATTTTAGCTTTAGGATGAGTAAATCCCTCCTTCAGGCGCAATGACCCACTCCATCTGCCCGAGGGCCTTTGAGCCTCTGGTACTTCCGATATTTTTTTTTTTTTTTACATTTTTTTTTCAATAAGTGTGGGTAAATTGCTGTTGTTGCCAATTTCGGCAAATGACAAAACATTGTAGCGTCTGCCGTTGGAGAGTACTCTCAACTGAATAGAACAGTTGTAATCGCATGGCTTTATGACGGGCGAATGGGGCGATTGAACCCAGGTCTCAGTATTGTTTGTGTCCCAGCACTGATCTACAATACAGTTACTCGGGGTCTGGTACTATGACGAGCAACGGTGGCCTTCTTGTAGTTGTGTGGTAGCATCCATTTGTCGATCTGAATGCCGAGGAACAGGCAATATGCACCGACAGTGACGGATTTGTTCTCTGTATAGAGCCGCTTGGAAGCCACAGTGTGGGAATCCTTTGCTATGATGATCATCCACTTGCGCCCACGTAACTCTTCATGGTAGAACTCGGGCGGCTTCTCATCTGCATTCATACAAAATTGACGATTGTGAGTTTCGGCTCGAGGTCCGAGACCACCCATATTTCATCTAAGGCCTGGGTGCGTTTTCACAGTTGTGAGTGACATCTCATGCTGAGAACATTACTGCTAGAGGTATAGAATCGGTACTGCGTTCGTGCTTCTATAAGAAAATTAGGTACCCATGCGCCACCCTCTTGACCATCCTCCGTTTATCGGACATAACTCGGGCAGCAGTTGCAGCTGGGATGTCAGACTCGCGGGGAAGCTCGACAAGGGTCCAGGCTCTGTGATCAGATATTCAGTGCCTGACTTCATCCACCCGTTTTTCTTGTGCAGGATGAATATTATGGGACCATCCACGACAACAAATTTTTTCCTTTCTTCCTTGTACGGGCTCCTGAACCAAATCTTCCACCGTGTATTTCGAGAACACCCTTACACAACCAGTAAGTCCACAAACTATGGTCCGGCGCAGGTCAAATTTGAGCGGCGCACTTTCCTCTTATGACGTCTGATTTGAAAAACCGGCGCCGATTTTCACCACTCGGGCTTCTTTTCAATTTCTCGAGAACTTCTTCTGGGGCTAGGTTCGCCAAATTTCACAGATACACAGCTTAAGGTACTAGCTTCCAAATGGTATAGTAGCCCGCTGCTCTATCCCCTTTGCTTTTCTGCCATTCCTCTATATGTAGCGGCACGTTTGAATGGGATGACCTAATATTACAACAACCTTCCAATTGTTGTTGCGACTTTAGTAGCTGATCACTTTTCGAAATTTATTTTCTGAACGTTTCAAGGTGAGTATTCATAATTCCTAGCCTTCCACATATCCGTATTCCCCGTGTCGTCAGGCGCTCAATATCCCTGATGAAGCGTGAACCGAACAACATTTGAACCTGAACAAAAGATTCAGTGAAGGAAGCGTATGTTCAGACTCCTGGTATCTTGGTGATTTCAAAAATTGTGAGGGGAGGAGCAGCAAATAGAAAATTAAACCGTTCAGGGTCGATACTTTTGACGGCCTGCACTCATCGTGTAGGCGGAGACAGTCAGCTGTGGTGTGTTCCCAGCTGCTCCCTTCTCCCTTCCAGAAAGGGAAGGAGGATGAAAAGGGTGATATTGAAAAAGGTGCTTGCTAAGACCTAACATTTTTTTTTGCCAAAATCAGCAATTCACTTCTGTCATCCGAGCTCAAGGGAGCGGCAGCGAGAACACGTTGGATTACTTCAGAATGGCTCATCTACACATTCTTCGGAATGTCTTGTGGTTCCCGCCCATGCTAGCAGAGTGCACCGCGACTGGCCTGAACGAGATTGAACCCAGGCATCAGCGACATCACTACCGTTACCCGACGGGCGCATCATCACGGTGAGGGAGATTTCGCGTTGAGCTCCACCTCAACCCCCTTAGCACCCCTCCGGTATTTCCGGTACGACTCCCCAACTCCACCTCCCCCTGTCACCAATAACCAGATTTCACTAGCTACAGGTTTTGTTGTTCTGTCAGTAAGAAGTGAGATATCCTCCTGCCACATGCTGAACAATCATCATCCCTACCTGGGATCATTTACGATGACAAGCCCTGGTGATGACAAGCCCTCACTAACATTCGTAAAGTAGTCGATGCATGGGCGCCAAACGCTGGACACCTATAACGCTGTGAAAATAGATCAAACTGAACTTACTTAGGTTTTCACCCTTGTTTCGATCTCTTTGAGGAGATAACGGCAACCCCATCGTTCAGGTTCTATATCAGTAAAAGTGTCCAGATATCCTGAAAAGTATTCTTATGCAGCAGGCGACAAAGTTTTCTGAATAGAGGGAAAATAACAGATAATAACTATCAACACAAAATCAGTGCACCACTACATAAGCATTCTGTTAATTGGTGTATTCCGCGCTCACCGTCCGGGCGGAGACAGATAACTGTCCTACTAGAGCACTACTCATTTGTACCACCTCAGAACGAAGGGTGCGCATCAATAAGAGAAGGTATTAAGTTTCTCCAACTCATTCTATAGAGTGAAGAAGCCTTTTTATGAGTTATTCAGCAAGAGGAAAACCGACCTAAAGCGGGTGTATGGGTAATGAGAACGTCGACATTGGACGGCAGTTTCTTCCATTTCTCTTCAAGTTGAGGTCGAGGACGATAGAACGGATACCCATAAAGGGGGTGCCATGATGAGCCATAAAACGTCACGCCATCAATCTGAATCTTATTCAATTTACCACATTGCTATTAAAGTTAAATTCTAAAAAATTAAAAGAAAACAAGAGAAAACAAAACAAGACATTTTGTGAAATGGAAGTTGTGTGATTGCACCAGGCATCCGAAATAACTACATTCATACAAAGTCGTGGAGGCATAGCCCAAATTTAATCATCACAATCAGTGGTTTCAATGGTTCCAGTTGTCTCCCCAGTCAACCGATTCAGTGCTGCTTCCAACGCCTTTTGGGGGATTCAATGATGCGAATAGTCAGTGTTTTCAAACCCTCACAACAATAATGAGTCCATAACGCCCCTCAACAACAATACTGACCCATACTGATTAACTGGGATGAATTGACAGCTCAGATTCAATTTACCAATTGTGTGGCTGGTCGCGACACACACAGCCTTGTCCGCTGTGGATGCTGGGGCATGTCAGAGGGGCTGGGTTTGGCGCGGCGCCAGCCCGTTGCCCCCTAATGTTGAAGGAGACAAGCAACCGAAATTGATGAAAATCGGGCTGGCACCGCGCCAAACCCAGGCTCCCCCTGACATGACCCAGCATCCGTAGCGGACAAGACTATAGATCCAGCTGTTCTTAAGAGGAGAAAAAAAAACAGAAAAATCAACACCCCAAAAGGATAACCCAAAGCAGCTCTTCCCAAATAAGGTCTTTTCAACTCATAGTCAGCAGAGCTCACCTCTATTCCTTTATCATGAAGCCAGGTAACGTTTGTCAACAGGCGATAACCTTTAGGAGTTCCTTGTCCCTGATACAGTGGAAGCCGTTCGCTGAGATCTTCTGTGTCATCGAAACCCAGATCATGATTTCCAGCAACAACGATCTTGTGCTTATGAGGTAGTCGACCTTAACAGTAAGTCATTTACTGCCTGTGCAAGAGTTTAGCATTTATGCACTGTGGAAGATTCAGCAGTTGAAGAGGGCTTTGAAGCAATTGGGCAGGATGGATAAGACAAATTCCGCGATAAACGAACGAGCCAAGGAATGGGCGAAGACTCGCTGTGCTTTCCACACCGACGCATTCGCTTCTTTACCCTAAAGACACACAGGGGGGAGGGGGAGAAGGTATGAGTTTTCGTCCATTCCTCCGACCAGCCGATTATCGTGAAATGTGTAATTGACTTGAATGACTTTGTCCTTTTCTGAAGCAAATTCTGCTTACCTATTTCATCGTTGAATTTTCTGAGTTCTTTTTCTGACCCGTAATTCGTCATGTCACCCGCATGAAGTAATACATCACCGTCGGGAATGTCCTGGAAAGTAAAAGTTGGAATCATTCAGGGAAAACCGTTCTGCAAAACAAAAAAGCAGTGAATAGCTGCACGCGTCTGTTCTCTTCTGAAAGAAAATGTACGCGTGTGATCAAAGGCAGTTGGCACGATGGATCCCGAAGACGAGTAGGATCAATACGTCTGGGAAAGACGAATTTTGCGCCTCTGAGCGGGCGCTGCGTGGCGCCGTTTCCAAGGAGGGTACCCTTATGAGGCCCAGCTGCCACCAAACGCCCACGCGTCCGCCCGCCCACAAATGGACGACCGTACCTGATGCTCGTATTGCTTCATTTGCGAAGTAAAATATGAAGCGAAGGATTTGTATGAAGCGGCCGCGGTGCTGCATGGATATATGAGTACATACATACGTGCAGCTGTACCTATCACAGCGGTTTACTGCAATGCAAATCCCGAGAAACTCGTCTGAAATCGGACTTTTTGAAGTTATTGAAAAACCGAGGCTTTTCACCGAGGGTTTTCGACCGTTTCAATTCGTTTTTTTTCAATGATTTATCCTCGTAAATACAACAGCCTGCTAGCATTTTAGATCGGTGCACGTTATCGTGCCATATGTCTTTAATCACCTTCCAAATGAAGAAAGGGGTGCCCTCCACTTACCTTCACCAGATCGAGTTGATCATGCGTATCAGAGAATAATAAACCACCTTCAAGTTGAACGGATCCAGGTGTTGGTGAGTTGATTCTCTGAAAAGTAATCATCGGATTGTTCAAGTTGACCATGAATCAATGGCAAATGAAATTGCATTTCAAAGCATAAGTGATTAGGGTAAACAGCTTTTGTCAAAAAGACGACTGGGACTTGACATGTTTTTTTATATTTAAATTACATATCGTTTTGTCACGAATCATTTTTATTGCTTGGAACATACAAATTTCTGCAATCGATATTCTTTTTTTGCCTATTTTTAACCTCTCGGATCCGTCTCCTAAAAGGCTCAAATAGTCTATACCCAGCAGTAACAATTTTTGGAGCGAAGAAAATTTTTCATAGATCTGCCTCCTTCCATAACTTGCCTTCATTTTAAATAAACTTTGTGGAGACGAGGGGACCGGGAGGCATTTGAGAGTGATGGCTAGAATGAACCTGTCGCCGTGCGTTTTCATCATAGGTTATATTCATTTCTAAGTCGATTCTTCCACTATATGACATGGCACGGTGAGATTGGGTTGTACAAATAAGCTTTGCAGTCGATGGACGGGTGAAACTTTGATAGCGGTGATTCCACTTAAATTTTCAAAGGTACTTGTAATGAAAGCGACCTGGTAATGCAACCTTAGGGGTGATCCTATATTAGACCGGTATGCTCGTTGAAGGGGCGGCGGGCGGTCGTTATATTACCTTTCGGATTGTTGATTTCTACTATTCGCGTTTCGCTCGCTGATCGGCTGACACCTCCCCTGGTCGGCCGGATCGCATCAGCAAATTCGACAGTATGTATTTCCTGCATATATTTCATTGTTATCCCTTACTACAGCAATTAATATCTTAAGGAATTGTTAGAGCAATTTCGTGAGAAAGACGGATGTAAGACTCGCTCAACAGCCACACGCACTCTAGCTAAACTGATGGAAATTGCAGGACCGGGCAAAATATAATGGGAGAGGCGCAGAACAAGATGTTCAGCAGTTTCCGGTTTTCCAGTATTCATTAGAACCAAAAGCGAGATTGCCTGCGCTTCCAGAGTCGCCGACGATAAGCTTAGTGCTCTTGCTAGTAGGCAAAGACAGACTACAATAGTGTAGAAAAAGCATATAACATAAAATTCATAAATTTTTGTAATATCAATCCAGCGAGTCAATAGAGCATAGAAGGAGGAAGATACGCACGGCAGAGCTGATTGACTGGTAATTTGAAATTATCTTTCGCTTTTATTGTCTCCCAGTAATTCTCTTCGCTGTCTGGATCGACCTTGCATGAATTCAATATTTATGAATATGCTTTCAAAAATATTTCATGATCAACTTCTAAACTATAGACGTTCTCTGAAAGTAGTGAATCTTGAAACTTCTGGTAGAGCAAATCAAAGGTTCAAAGGGATTCGGTGCCAGGCCCTAAAGTAGAGGCTAACGTTCGGCCCGGGAATCATGATAGCTCTTCAGAACGCATTAAGAACGCACCTAAAGGCACATTCTGCGATGACCGCAAAGGGGAGAAATGGGCAGACTTCTCACCACCACGCCTTCCCCATTGGTGCATCCGCCCTTCTAATGGTAAGCAAAGGGGAATGTCAACGAAGAGGGCGCATTTACGATGGTCATCCGCCACTCGATTATCGCGAATGAAAATTTAAGTCCCAGAACCAGTAGCTAAGGTGAATTGATGAAGCCCAAACCCCAGAAGGGGGTTTAGGCTTCATCAGTCCACCTGAACCAATGGTCCACTACATAGAGGAGATTGATTTTACGCGTATATAATCGATATGTGTTCTGCACGTGCCGCGCTTGTTTGAAATGTTCAATCATGCACACGTAGATGGGAAAGCTTCTTCTTTTCGCAGAGGTGGTCCCGATATTCGATGGACCACCGTATATCACTTAGTAGGATTTCCAGTTAGCGCCTATAAATGAATAGTCCAAGATCGCTCATAGCTTCCAAATAGTGTCACGATCGTTGCAAAGTCTGATGAAGGATAAATTTGGAGGTTCATTTAAGTACGAGGCAGTAAAAGAATATGGATGAAGTCACTGCCGTTTGTCAATCCCTTTGTGGGATGCGGCACGCATTCTACTTCCATTCAGAATCGTAGTGGCTTATTGAATGCGATGTGGCCTATACAATGATTGCAAAAGCCAGCCGATGTACAAATCAGTGTCTTTATCTTCGAGGACAAATCTGGTACCCATACACCGTCTCCGGAGGAAAGAAGGTCTAGTCGACTCAAGCGGGAGCCGATCCGAGAGCACCCAGACCGCGCGAGTGGTAAACGTGCTACTTGCCACTACATCACCTCCGCCTCATGAGGTGGTAATCAAGGATACATGAAACTTTGCCGCTTATCCATCCTTTCGCGAGATGCGCTACGCTTTCTCTTTCGATCAGCCTTGGAGGTGTTAAAGGCCTAGTTGGTCTGGAGGGGGGAGGTGGGTGGAGAAATTTCTGATCTGACTCACGGAAGGGCCGAGTGGGTTAAGCCGCTTGCAGCCCTACGTCACCGTTGGTGATAATCGTGGATAAAAATAAGTGAAGATACGAGAGCAAAGGCCACGACGAGAATGTTCTGGATTGCCACCAGAACCTGCCGGTGCATCCTTTACTGATTGATACACCTAGGTACTCCATCAGATACTCAAAGCCTGACCTCGTCTGATTTGAGACGCCCACCCGATTCAGTAACCATTCTACCACGGCACGATCCGAGACCACCTCGTCTTTTAGTGAATTGTGGAAAATACACCTATTACCACTTCTATCAACACTGGGAAAGCGCATGTGGGTAAGAAGCGTACAAGGTGAGCAATTGATGATGAGCTCGAGAGAGAGGGAAGGACCTCATGAACCAGGATGCGGCTGAATTCGAGGCAGGAGGTGCTCAGAGCGACCTTTATAGCAAACAATAACAGCTTGAAACTTGTAAAAAGCCTTCAGCCTTGCGGTTCACTGCCGATATCGGCTAACCGGCTCATCACGTTGAACGTGTGAGTGCTGAAGGTAATGGCACAAATAGCCATTGAGCTGAGTGGTCAAAAAGTGGCACGTCGTAAGCGTAATAGGAACGCACTCTGCCCACGGAAAAAGCAGAAGATGCGGGTTCGAATCCCGTCCGTGGTCCGACTTTTGCCCATAACTCAGCATTCTTGTGAAAGCTTTCGGATCGCGTACTGCGGCGTAAAACAGCAGTTAACAAACAAAAACAGCTTGAAACTTATATAGCAAAGAACTCGAAACGAAGCCGCTGAGTCCTTAGTAGTCAGCACAATTCGTCAGACAGTGCTCGCCATTTCAAAAAGCAGCTACTCGAAAGACACAACAGAGAATCACGCTGGACCAATTGCAGACAAGCTCCTTGACAAAGCATTTGACAGAAAGACAGCGTGCAATGTTACTACGCACAATAGTCATAGGATTCGCCGAAGAACGTGGTGGATTAGGGTCTGCCGCCAAAGCGCTGAATATAACGCTCGTGGCTGAGGGTAATCACTTGCCCTTTAAATTCGACCACACGTCGTTTTTATTCGTCTAGCGCTAGTCTCGCGACAATTTCCGCCACAAACTGCGCCTTATATATGTTTGAAGGAGAATGGAGCTAAGAAGAGTGGACTTATCGCATGGGCGACGAACGCTGATGTTTCAGGGATATCCTAGTGGCTATGAAATGAAGGCTACATTTCTTCGCCTCAAATGATTTTTGCTTTCTTTTTCTTTCTTATTTTTCTGCTGTAGACTTAAAGACACATTTTCACTATGGTATGTTGTGGATAGTGTTGGTCCGTAACAAATGGATATGTGGTAGTTGAGCCAGTGAAGGAAAAAACAGGAAAAAGCTATCGAAAGCGCTCTAAATCTGACCCCTCTTGATATCAGGGACCATAAGGCGAAGAGACGTTGAGCATGCAAAAGTGAAAGAGATGACTAAACGGAAAGCTAGTATAGAAACGACGAAAGCACGATACACTGCTTGAAATGGACAATGCAGGAGGGGCGGCATCCGTAGGCGAAACAAAGCATTTGTGGCAAAGCTCCGGCGGTCTTGTCCCTACTTTTCGAGTAGCGCAAGTATATTGTGCAAGTGCAATTGTGGATCGGACAACCTTGAACAAACAAGGATTTCTGCTGCGAGTTCTGTCTTCAAATTTCACCGCATTGCTCCCCCTGCCCCATCCTCGGCGCAAAATCAAACATGAACAAGAAAACAGGAGTGTCAAAACTCTAATCCTCCCGTAGAATAATCGTCACAACAACCTCATATCAAAATCCTTAATAA